ATTGGCACAGGACAGAGTGGAGTTTAGGGCTGTTGTACATAGGGTCGCTATGAGTCGCAAGCGACTCGACAGCACATAACAACAACAACAACCTTTGTGTTGGCAATGCTGAGCAAAATATTAGAGAAGCTGGACTCAATCAAGAAGAATGTAGCATTAAGATGGAAAAGATTCATCAGTAACCTGCATCATGCAGATGAAACAACCTTGGTTGCTGAAAGGGAGGAGAACTTCAAGCACTTGTTGAAGAAGAAGATCAAAGAATATAGCCTTTAATATGGATTATACCGCAACATCAAGAAGACAAAGATTCTTATCACTGGACCAATAGGCAACATCTTAAGAGCTGGACAAAAGATTGAAATTGTCAACAACTTCATCTTATTTAGATTTATATTTAACACCCTTGATAGCAGCAGTCAGGTGGTTAGGAGATGTATCACAAAATCTGACGTTAAAGACCTCTCCAAATTATTGAGGAGTAATGATGTTAGTTTGAGGACTAAGGTGTGTGTGATTAAGGCCATAGTCTTTCCGATTACTTGCTTTGCATCTGAGAGCTGGACAATGAATAACGATGACAGAAGAATTGAAGCCTTTGAGCCATGGATTTGGAGAACACTGTACATCCATCCATGGACTATCAAGAGAACAAACAAGTAGGTTTTGGAAAGGGTATAGCCAGAGTGCTCTTTGAAGGCAGGGATGATAAGGCTTCATCTCTCATATTTTAGGCATGTTGCTAGGAGGGGCTATTCCTGAGAGAGACATGATGCTGGGAAGGGTGGAGGGTCGGCGAAGAAGACCAGGTGGACTGACATGATGACTGCCACAATAGGCTCTAATGTGTCAGGAAAAGTGAGGATGACATACAGATCTGTTGTTCACAGGTTTACTATGGGTCATGTTCAACTCAACAGCACCTAACAACAAGTCACCAGAGCACAAGGGCTCTCTCACACACTCTCACTCTCTCTTTCTCCGTCATGCACTCTCTCTTACTCAGACACACACCTACACATATATATGATTTTTTTTTCAATAAGATAATTATAAAAGAACATACCCATCTTTGGTCTGATCCACCATACCACTTAAAAGTTCCACAGTCTTTAGGTTAGGTTGACTTTCTCCAAAAATGTTCAAGTATCGAGTGACAAAGTCATTGGGAGACATGAAATATTCACCATTTTTTTCAATGCTTGCATACTGTTAAGAAAAAAAGATAATGAGAAAGTGCAGTTATCTTACATATGCAATTCTCAAAAGTAAGTAGCTAATCTGTAGGGGAAATACACCTGAAAATATTCAAAGGATTTAATGTCAGTTGTGATCCTGTGATTTTCTCAATGACACTTAACTTCCCCTCATTTAAACAACCAAAAAAAAAAAAATGTGAGAACACTTTCGTATTGTCCAGTTTCATGTTTCTATCAGTGATTCTCAATGGAGTGCAATTTCCCCCCAGGGGCACCTGACTACATGTGAAGACAATGGAGGTTGTCATACTAAGACAGGGAGACTACTGCTGGCATCTAATGGGGAGATGCCAGGAATGCTGATAACATCCCTCAGCACACAGGACAGTGCCCCACCTCCCCGCCCCACCCATCTCCAAAGAACTATCCAGTTCAAAATGTCAGGAGTGCCCAAGTTAAAAAACCCTAACTTTACATAATCTGCAAAGACAAAGTGTGCCTTGTTGTTTAACAAGAACACAACCACTTTCATAGAACTCTAGAAGTCCTAATCCACAATATAAACAGTCTTCCAAGCATCCTAAAAAACCTACAATCAGGAGAGGATAAAATAGATGAATGGGACCGTCTAAGAATAAAAAAGTGGAATTAATCATGAATCATGGAGGGAAATTATCTAATTTTTTGTCCCCATTATTGCTTCAAGGGCATCAATGATACAAGAAAGGATGACAAACAGGATATGTTTGAAAGCACACTAGCTTAGGATGCTCTCTCAGTGTCCCTTTAGGTCTCGTTTCTAGTGTACCAAGCTCTGGCACAAGAATACCTACTCATGCCTGTCCCAAGAAGCTTCAAAGGTTAATGGAAATGCTTAGAAAAAACCTAGGGACCATAACTTGCCTTTATGGAGCAAGAGAGCATCTTCTGGTCCTGAGGACAAAAACCAACTCAAAGTGGATCAAGGAACTAGGACTAAAACCAAGGATTATAAACTTGATTAGAGAAAAACTTGGAAGAACTCTAGAAGCCCTAATCTATAATATAAACAGTCTTCCAAGCATCCTAAAAAACCTACAACCAGGAGAGGATAAAATCGATTAATGTGACCCTCTAAGAATAAAATCCTTATGCACATCCAAAAACTTCTCCAACAGGGTAAAAAGGGAAGCAACAGACTGGGGAAAAATATTTGATAATGACATGTCTGATAAGGAACTTAAATCTAGAATTTATAAAATATTTGAGCACCACAACAAGATAAAGGTAAACAACCCAATTGAAAAATGGGCACAGGATATGAATAGACACTTGACCAAAGAAGACATTCAGATGGTGAACAAACACATGAAGAAATGTTCAAAATCCCTAGCTCTAAGAGAGATGCAAATCAAAATAACTATGAGGTATCATCTCACTCCAGTAATAATAGCAAAATTTAACAGAACAGCAGATAACAAATGCTGGCAAGGCTGTGGAGAAACTGGAACACTTACTCACTGTTGGTGGAAATGTAAAATGGTGCAACCACTATGGAAGGCAGTATGGCGCTTTCTCAAAAAGTTGCGAATAGAAATATCAATTGACCCAGAAATTCCACTACTGGGAATATACTGTAAAGAAACCAGAACTGCCACCCAAGCAGATATATACTCACCCATGTTTATGTGGCTTTGTTCACAATAGCAAAGAGCTGGAAATAACCCAAGTGCCCATCAACAAATGAATGGATAGAGAAGTTGTGGTATATTTGTTGTTGTTGCTGTTATGTGCCGTTGAGTCATTTCCGACTCATATCGACCCTATGCACAACAGCCCTAAACCCTGCTCTATCCTGC